CGGCCAGTTAAGGCATCACCCCTCCGGTGATGCCCGCAGCCTGTGCTGGGACAGGCAGTGAGGCATGGAGGCACACCCCGGTGCCTGGGTGTCACTTGTCAACATCAGCCCAGGGAGAGGTCAGAGTGGTTTGTGTGCTACAAGCAATTCCCCAGCAGCGCTGGGTCTGTTTGTCCCACGGGGCAGGTGACCTCCTTCCTGGGGCTGGGGTGTCCCCTGCTGTGCCCCCTTCCCTGGCCCACACCCCACCGATTGATGGCATCCCAGGAGCTATAAACGTTTGTTTAGCGGTGTTGATGGCTCTAAGCAGCCTCGCAGCAGGCAGAGCATCCCAGGGCCCGCCCGTGCCAACAGGAAGGGTTTATTTTTGCTTGGGCTTTATTTTAGCTACAAACAATGGTGGTTACTCCCAGCATCCGATTTCCCCCTCGCCCCCAGCCTTCACCTGACGCGGGAGGAAGCGTGGCCGGGGGCAGGAGGAGGACAGGAGAACCGCGGCCACAGGATGGAAGTCCCCATCCACCTCCCACTGCAGCAGCCTCGCAGCGTTATGGTGCTGTGAAACAGCCTCTCCCCTCCGCGGGGCTCTCTTTCAGGCTGCAGAGCTGCTTTCCTTAGGGGTGACAACTCCACATCCATTGTCTCATCTCCCCCCCTCCAAAAGCTGGGTCTGAACACCAGGAAACTCCTGCTCTGGCTTGGCCAGAGCCTCTTCCTCCTCCTCCTCTTCCTCCTCTCTGCAGGTTGCTGGAGCAAGACCTGATTCCTGCTCTGTGATGGAGCAGAGGCCGAGGAGGGGGAGAAGGGCTCTGCAGCTGCAGGCTGTGCCTGGACCCTTATCTCTGTGCTGTGGAAACAGGTCTCTGGGGTGGGGGGGAGTTGTTCATTGGGTCTAAAAATAGAGCTGGCCTGGGTGCAGGGTGAAGAGGGGTGGTGGAGGAAACGCAGCTCCTTTGCCAGCATCGTGCTTGGTACCACTGCCAGGGCAGCAGAGCAAACACTGCCTTGTTGTGAGCAGCAGCAGCGTCCTGGTGCTGGTTCCCTGCCTCACCCCACCCCAGCAAAGCTGCCCTGGCTGCCCCAATCCATCCAGACCCAGTTAGTTAATGCTAAAGCCATCTGCTGCCCCGGCTCCTGGCCTTCCCAGGCTCAGGGACCTCACTGACATCTCCCCATCGCACTACGCAGCGCAACAGGCTGCAAGCATAGAGGGGAGGGAGTTCCTGGGAGGGGAGGCTGGCACCGCTCCCTGTGTTGGGATGCCTGTGTCCAGAGCCTGATCCCAGCAAAGCAGTGCGATCCCACAGGATGTCAGTTGCAGGAGAAGCTGCAGAAGGAAGCAGGTGGGAGCCATTTGTCAGTACCAGAAGTGGGTGTGAGGCCAGAGGTGTCCATGTCCCATCAGTGGCTACTGCAGAAGCAATGTTCATTCCTTGCTCACTAGGTGACTATGGGTCAATCACATCAGTCCCCATCGCCCTCCTGCCCGGAGCAATCTCCCCTTGCTTCCTGTAGCCGCCCCATTGACCTGATTTACGCTGAAAGCCTAACAAGTGTAGGAAATGAATTCCTTCCCTTCCTTTGCTGGCCCTGAGCAGGGGCTCAGCTCTGCAGCTCTGTACCCTCCTGCTTTGCAGGCCTCTTTTACTGCCTTGTGTTTTGGAGGATGTTTAACAAGGGAGATGGAGGGGACAGCTCAGCTGTGGGGAACAAAGGAGCCCTCAGTGCTCACCCTGCTTTGTGTGCCCAGCTCAGCACTGGGTGCTCAGGGCGCTGTGATGCGCTCACCCGCCTGCCATGCTGGCCACAAGCCTCCCTTATCAGCCACTCTCTTTCCCTGCGTGCAGCAGGGTCCCCTTGCTGCCTGCTTTGTCACTATTAATAGGAACCTTCCTGCCCTTTTGCCCTCAGCTGGTCTGAAGCCTTGACACAAGAGCTGGTGGCTGTGATGGGAGATGTCCTACACAGGGCAGGGGATGAGGGTGCTGGTGACCACCATGGCCAGGGCTTCCATGTGCTCTGTGAAACTGATGTAGGGAGTGCACGTGGTCCCCATCTCTTCTGTGGGAGCTTGTGGTTAGCTGAGAGCATGCTGAGCTGGGGCAGCAGGAAGATGGGTGTCTCCTTAGATGCCTGCAGGTGCTGGGTGGACAGGGAGCATCTTGCTTTTTGTCCCATCTGCTTCCTTTCTAGTCCCCTGCCCTGCCAAGCCCTGCAGGCGAGAGCATCTGACCTGGGCTGGAGACCACCACCACATTGCTGAGCAGGAACCTGCTCCCTTCCTGCCTGTGCTGCACTCTGCAGACATCCCAGGGAGCACTTTCCCTCCCTCCCTGCCTGTTCAGAGGGGCAAAGAGAGGGCCATGAGAACTGAGTGCTTACCCTCAATCATCATGCATGAGGTTCTTGCATGGCAGAGCAGGTCCCCACCCCAGGAGGTGCATGGTGGAGAGCAGCAGTGAGCAGAGCATCAGCAGGACCTGCATCCTGTGGCTGCCTGTCTGCTGTGAGATGCTTTTCCAGCCCAAGCAGCAGGACCCCCACTTCCCTTGTGGTTGCCCTCTATTTTCCTATGGGCTGGGGGATGCTGTCAGCTCTGTCTGGAGCTGTGCTGAGGCTTCTGCTCCCCGCCTGCGGGTTACCTGTCCTGCTTTGGCCTGCCCACAGGAGATGTGTGCTGGCAAAGCTGCTCTTGCTGAAAGGGCTGAGGCTGCTGTTTAGCTTGGCGCTGGGGAGGGAGGAGGAAGCAGAAGGTCTGCGGAGATAGAAACCCATCGGCTGGGGCGGCAGGAAGAGACTTGTGAGGCGCATCCTGCCTTGTGTCCTGGGGAGGCAGGGATTTGGGGCTGGGCATGCTGTCTCCTTGCCCAGGGGCTCATCTTGGCCGGGTGCTGATCTGTATCAACCCATTCACATTTGGCTTCCCTTCAGCTGAAAACAGCACTCGGTTTGATTGCACTGTCCCTGCTTTGGGGGCAGCAGTGCCAGTCTGCTTCCTGCCAGTCCTGGGAGACTCACTCCATGCTCTGTGCCATGGCTCAATGGGTAGAAGGTGGGCACCCAAACTCCTGGGTCAAACTATAGCAGCCCAGTTTTGGATGGGTGTTGGGCAGAGTGGATGTGGTGGTTGGATAGGGCCCAGCATAGACCCTTAAAGAGCATGAGTGATGAGGATCCCGTCAGATGCAGCAGTGCAGCATTGTGCTCTTCCCCTGGGAAATACACCCCATGCCAGCCCTCACTGCTGTGGGATCCCAGTACCCGGTGGTGGGGATGGGTACAGCCCAGACAGGGTGTCCCCGATGCTCCATACTCCTGGGGCATTCTCTCCCCTCCTTGCCAGACATCTCCGTCAGTCAGCACATCCAAGCTGCCCCTGCAATCACTTCTGGCTTCTCCTACTGTCCCTGGAGACCCAAGGCCAGCTGCATGCTGCCCCAGCTGTGCCATGATGACTTTTGGTTGCTGCCAAGGGAAGGGATCCTGCTCACACTTCCACTGGAAGAAACCACAGCTTTATCCTTCCCTCTGTGGCCTCATGGCTGCATGTTTGCTGGCGTCCCTGAACTTGGCCTCTCCAATGCATCTCCAGCAGGCACTGCACCCTGCAGGACTACCCTGGGCATCTGGGTGTACCCATGGTCCCGGGTAAAACAGAAACTTGACTTGGGATTCAGCTCAGTTCTGTCCTATCCTGCTCAGAGGAGATTGGTACAGAAAGAGACCTGGGATGAGGATGTGGTGCACTTGCAGAACTGGGAGTGTGGGAGCTCAGAAGAGATTTCAGGCCCTCCCCATCCTTCCCATCCCTTGTTAATGTGTTGGTCAGCCACTGCCAGCCCCATAAATACTGCTTTCAGTGATTAAATTATGTAGCCATGCTCTGATATGCAAACACCCGAGTGTTTTTTGGAGCCTCGCTGCGTGGGTAACCCCACAGCTACTGGGTGCTAAAAAAATAGCCCAAGAATCACCACATCAGAAAGGAGACCCAGAACTTGGTGTTGTGCCTGTGATGGTGATTGGTGGCAAATTCTCTTTTCCTGCTTTTTGCTGGGCTCTCTCTGTCTCCCTTCTGTCTGCTGGGATGATGCTGTGCTCAGGTGCAGCAGCAGCCCAGAAGCTGGTGGGTACTGGGACTAGTGGTTGGACTTGATCTTAAAGCTCTTCTCCAGCCTAGCTGATTCTATGATTCCCACACACTGGAAAGCGGATGAGCTGTGGCTTCTGGTGCAGCTCCTCTTTGCCAAGATTTCCACTGTTCTGACCCTCTTGCCTGCATCTTGGGCTGTGTGTGTTGGACCAGCAACACAGAGCTGGGTGGGGAGAGCCCCCCCTTCATGCTCCCAAGCACTTTCCAAGTGCCTGTGTTGGGAAGGGACTGTCAGCTGGGGCAGTGACTCCATGCATGGAGTCGGGTGGATGAGCTGGGATGGTACAGGGGAGGAGTGGCAGCAGGGCAGAGGAGCTGCTGTTGGTGAGCCTTGGGAGGAAGGCTCTAGCCTGTGTATGGGCACCATGTGGAGGTGGGCTGAGCACAGCAGAGGAATATGAATGTCCCCCAGCTGGAGATGGCATTGCCAGGTGGCTCTGGAGATGGCATCTGGGTTTCCTTTCCTTCCTTTCTTCCTTCCTTCCCTCATCACCACCCAGGGCCCGTCACAGCGAGGGGGTACCAACAGCAGTGATGGGTGTCAGGCAGACAGAGGTGTAGTTTTATCTGCACGGAAAAATGTGTCCTCAGCCCTTTGATACTTTTCCAGTAGCATGCAGAGCTGGCGTTCCCATTCACAGGCTCAGCAGGCTGCATCCTGGTGTCTGCGTGCAGGTGGAAGAGCTTGTGTGTGGAAGGAGCACGTGTGCATTAGCAAATGCTGCCTGAGCCGTGCTGGGCCAGCTGGGAAAGATCCACATCCTGGGGCCTTCCATACGTTCCAGCCCCTTCTGCCTGGTTTTAACGCTACCAACCTGGCTGACGGGCTTTTTCCTGCTCTCTCCAGTGCTGGACCAGCTCCTGCCAGAGCTCAGCATGTTGCTCAAGCTGCTGGACCATGAGTACCTGAGTGCCACCACGCAGGAGAAGAAGCTGGCCGTGTCCACCATCCTGCAGAAGCTGCAGCCGCCTGCAGGTCTGTGTCCCGCTCCTGTGGTGCCTGGTGTCTGTCCCCAGGGCTGGCGGCTGCCCCAGAGGGATCCTGGCCAAATCCCCCGCGCGGCAGGAGCACGTTCTGCATGGCAAGAGTGCTTTGCCTCTGTGCCCAGTGCCCAGCTCATGCTCAGCTACCTCGGAACACTTTGCTCCCTGGTCCTGCTTCCCAGCTTCATTCCGCCCTGGATGCAGCGGCTGGTGTCAGCCCTGCCATGGCTGCAGGGGGCTGCTCCTTGTGGAAGCAGCTCTCCACAGATGTCTTCCTGCCTGCTGAGTGCAAGGGTTTCTGTGGGAAGGCCAGTAGGACCCAGGGCTTCACAGCCTTCCCATCTTCCTGCCCTCCTGGGGATTCCTGGGTGCCTGCTCCGGAGAGGTGGCCCATGGCATGGTGGGGTGAGCTGAGCTGTGTCCTTGGGTTGGTGTCTGTGGGGAAGAAGGGTGCCAGTGCTTGTCCCAGCCACCCCCAGGCTGAAAGCATCCCTCTGCTCCCAGGGAAGGATGTGGACTACATGTATGTCAACACAGCATCCCTGAGCAACGGTACCAGCTTCGTGGAGTCTCTCTTTGAGGAGTTTGGTATGTCTTGGGGCCCCTGCTGACGGCAGGGCTATTGGGGTGCCCGGGGAAAGAGAGTGAAAGCTGTATCCTTGTATCTAGTGTGGGCATTATCACCCCAGGCACTTGCTCCCACTCCCCCATCGCTATTTGGGGCCTGGCCATTGGGGTCCGTGCACCATCAGTGGTTACCAGCAATGCCATCACCCAGCACCCTCCCAGTGAAGGGCCATGGGTGATTGCCTGGGGGTCCCTGGAGGCATGGCTGGGGAGGGCAGCCCTGGGGTTTCCTGCTCCCTTCACCCTCTCACTTACCCCGGCAGACTGTGACCTGCGGGACCTCCAGGACATGCAGGAGGAGGAGGGGGACACCGGGGAAGGTGCTGGAGGGGAGGAGCTGGCGAGGACCCAGACGGCGAAACCTGTGAGTCCCTGACTGCCCCGATGAGGTCTGCTCTGCACCCGCACGGGGAGGTGGCGGTGGCCAGGGCTGGGACCCCTTTCTGTCCCGTGTCACCACTGGGACTCCTCATGACCCGCTCTGCTAACGCAGTGGTGTCTCTGCCGCAGGTTCCTGTGGACCCTGCCCCACCACTGCCCACCACTCCCCCGCCTGAGGATTACTACGAGGAAGCCCTGCCCCTGGGCCCTGGCAAGGCCCCCGAGTACATCACCTCCCGCAGTGAGTCCTGCTCTGTGCCGGGGTGCAGGAGGTGGGGGGAGAGCCCCGAAATCTGCCTGCTGCATCCCCTGCCTGCCTGCCTGCCAGCTCGTCCTGGGGAAGGAAGCACCACTGCTCCCACCAGCGTTGATCCTGTCTTGTTCCCTTCCCATCCTGCTGTGCTGTTATTGCAGGGAGTTGTTTGCTCTGGTTTGATGGGGAAGGGAGTGATGGGGAGAGGCTGGATCCACAGGGAGCCGGTGATGATGCCCTGGGAAGCTGTGCTTTGCTCTGCCCTGGCTCACAGCTCCCTGCTCAGAGCATCCTCGGGGGAAAACAACCCCTGTCAGCCCTCTTAACAGCCCCTGCTGCCCCTTGCTTCCTCTGCAGACAGCTCCAGCCCCCCCAACTCCATCGAGGATGGCTATTACGAGGATGCAGACAGCAGCTACCCTGTCACCAGGATGAACGGGGAGCAGAAAACCTCCTGTAGGTATCTGGTGCCCTTGCTTCAGCAGAAGTCCAGCCCTGAGATGGGGCTTGAGCACTGGTCTGGTGGCCGGTGGGGTTGAGGCTGGAGAACCTCTCATATCAGAGTGTGCTGGCCAAAAAAGCAAGGAGCGTGTGGTGCTGTTTGTCACGGCAGCAGAGCCCTTGTGCTGCAGAAGGGATGTAACTGGTGCTGTGTCTATCACCACCATGGGGTGGACTGTGCAGCTCTCATGACCTGTGTGAGCTGCCTTGGCCATGGCAGAGGAGGTCTGAGACACCAGTGCAGAACCCTGCTCCTCCATGCCCTGTGTGGGAGGTGTGTGCAGAGGGCCAGCACGGGATGCTCTGATGCAGGTAGAAGGTTTAACCCAGGCTTTCAAAGTTGGAGCCTCACACAGAAATAAGCCACCCCAGGGGTTTGAACAGATGCACCTGGGACTGGCCTGCAGCCCATGAGCATCCTGCCTGGTTTGGAAGGGAAGTGGAGACTGCTGGGGTCAAAACACTGCTGTTTGCAAAGAATGACATGGAGTCCCTCCATTCTAGCACCCAGGCCAGGCCCTGCCCCAGAGCAGTGTGGAGGGGTGCTCGGCAGGCAGGACCTGGGGTGCCACTCGGGGTGAATCGCCTGCTTCCTTCCAGTCAATGACTCGGATGCGATGAGCAGCTCTTACGAGTCGTACGATGAGGAGGAGGAGGAGGCGAAGAGCCAGCAGCTCACACACCAGTGGCCGTCAGAGGAAGCTTCCATGAACCTGGTGAAGGACTGCAGGATTTGTGCCTTCCTGTTGCGCAAGAAGCGCTTCGGACAGTGGGCCAAGCAGCTCACCATCATACGGGACAGCAAACTGCTGGTGAGCCCAGAGCTGCTGTGGGACAGAAACCTGTCAGTGGGTTATGAGGGTGGTTGTGTCTAAGCTGAAGAAGAATAGCACTATCCAAGCCAAGACCCTGCCCCAAGGCTGCCACTGCCCTGCAGCACATGCAGAAGTTGCTCTCGCTTCTATTACTAGCACAAGGAGGAGTCCCCTTTCTGGGACCCCCTGGAGTGAGGGGACACCCTGCAGCCCTCTGCCACTGAGGCTGGTGCAGAGACTGAGCCATCTCCATCTGTGCCACCCGAGAGGAACCCCAGCTCTGCCAGCGTCTGGGCTCTGAGCAGTTCCCTTTGCTTCCCGTAGTGCTACAAGAGCTCCAAGGACCGTCAGCCACACGTGGAGGTGCCCCTGGGCTCCTGCAATGTCATCTACGTCCCCAAGGACGGGCGGCGCAAGAAGCATGAGCTGCGGTTTTCGCTACCGGGTGCCGAGGCGCTGGTGCTGGCCGTGCAGAGCAAGGAGCAGGCTGAGGAGTGGCTGAAGGTACCACAGCCCTGGGAAAGGTCTTGCCCCCTTGGAAGGGGGCTTTGCTCCCATCTCTTATCGTCTGGGGGGCTGGCCAGATGCTTCCCAGGACCGGGGCATCTCCGGTGCTGATAGCCCCCGATGTTTGCTCTCCCCCTCCTCTTCCCCATGGCCCTTTCCTGCCTTTGTTCAGGGGCAGGAGGCGAGGGCCGCGGTGGGAAAGGAGCCTCTGAGCTCACCACAAACCCAGCTATTACCCCACAGGTGGGAGAACAGGGTTGTTTTACACAGCCACGCTGTGCCTGCCTGTAAAACAGGGGGTCCTGGGGTGTCCTGTGCTGGCAGGATGACTGTGGCTCAGCACCCACGGCCCTCGCCTCTGATTGACAGAGATTCCCAAAGTCTCTGCCAAAATCTGCCAAACTAGTTGCAGTTTTGAAGGGGCCAAGGTGTGGGTCACACCTCAGCAAGCTGGGCTGGTGCCCTCAGCAGGGCTTGCTGGCCTGTTCTGCAAAGAACAGGATACATCCCAGGGGTTCAGCCTCGCGCTGGCAGCAAGATGGGAGCATGCTGAGCCAAGGGGAAGGAAGAAGCCCTGTCCCTTGGGTCCATTTTGAGTGTCTGCTGGGGCTGTCTCCACAGGTGATAAAGGAAGCCAGCAGTCCGGCTGCAGGTGGGATGGAAGCCCCCACCTCCCCGATGATGCCTTGCAAGCTGGACCTGGATAAGGTGATGGTTTCTAACCACCTCACTGAAGTGCTGCATGGGGCTGCTGTGGCCAAGACTGGGGAATGCGGGGCTGGAAACACCGAGCTCCTGGTGCTGGGCGAGGAACTCTTCTCATCCTCACAGCAGCTCTGTGAGGCTTATGGGGCTCTGTACCCCTGGGGAAGGGGAACAGCACTCACCTGGCACCATGACACATCCTAGCCCTGCGCAGGAGGGTTGAAAGGCTGGTAGTGGCTGTTGCCTGGGGGCAGCGCAGAGGGATGCTGCTGACAGGGGGGATGCTGCTGACAGTGGGGATGCTGTTGATGGGGATGCTGCTGACAGGGTCCCTGCTCTGCTCTCCCGCAGCGTCTGTCACAGGAGAAGCACACCTCTGACTCGGACAGCGTGGCCACGGGTGAGACCAGCTCCACGGCAGCGCGCAGAGAGCCTGGCGAGCATGGTACCGTCCCTGCCCCAGCCATGCTGGCTGTCCCCCAGCTGAGGGTCATCTGTGTGCTCCACAGCTGAGAGCATCCTCTCCCCGTGAGGTGGATGCCATGAAACGCACCAGGGGCACACAGCTACCTTGTCCTCCTTCCAGGGAAGGGCAAAAAGAGTGGCTTGGCTGACCTGAAGGGCTCGATGAGCCGCGCAGCGGGGAAGAAAATCACCAGGATCATCAGCTTCTCCAAGAAGAAGCCTTCCCCCGAGGACACGCAGACCTCCACCGAGGAGGACATCCCCTGCTGCGGTTCGTGCGGGTTGGGGCAGAGAGGGCTCGGCTCATGTGGGGCTGGAGCGGTGGGGAGCAGCATCCTTCCTCCCCTATAGGGGGCAGGCAGGGGGTAAAGGGGCAGTGGGGTGGGGGCAAGGGCATGGAGCTGCTCCAGGCCTGTGATATGCCTCAGGCTATGAAATGGTGCCCAGTCCCAGTTCTCCAAATAGCTGTGATGCCCAGGGAACCATGTTCCACTGTTACCTGTATCCAGAAAACAGGCTTAGGTCACTGTGTGGCACTGAGCTGGCACCTCACCTGGAACCAGGGTGTTCCTGATGGCTCTGTGGGGAAACTGAGGCACACAAGGACCAAAGGAGCAGGGAACCATGCTGTAATCTCTGTGCAGCTATGTCTGAGACCCTTCCCTTGACCCTACCACCCCCAGGCTACCTCAGTGTCCTGGTTAACCAGTGCTGGAAGGAGCGCTGGTGTCGCCTCAAGGGCAACACCCTCTACTTCCACAAGGACCGCACTGACCTGCGGACACACGTGAATGCCATCGTGCTCCGGGGCTGCGAGGTGGCCCCGGGGCTGGGCCCCAAACACCCCTTTGCCTTCCGCATCCTTCGCAACGGGCAGGAGGTGGTGGCGCTGGAGGTAAGCAGGCAGTGGGGTGGGCAGGGGGTGTTGGGGAGCATCTCCTGTGATGATCCCCACTTGCATGCAAGCAGTGCTGTGTTTTCCCCTCCCCTGCATGTCAAGGAAGCCCAGGGCTGGGGGTCTTGAGACCTCCTCCATGTGCCTGTGTGCTTTTTCATATGGACCCTCCTAAGTCTTGCACACAGGCTTCATGTCATAAAGTGCTTCTCCACAGCAGGGCTTTATGTTGGGAGACAAGAGTGAGGACAAGGGTTCGGGATCTTGGCATGCACCCCAATCCCTTTTCTTCCCCATAGGCAAGCTGCTCCGAAGACCTGGGCCGCTGGCTGGGTCTCCTCTTGGTGGAGACGGGCTCGCAGACAGCACCAGAGGCCCTGCACTACGACTACGTGGATGTGGAGACCATTGCCAACATAGTGACGGCTGTGAGGCACTCCTACCTGTAAGGCTGTCCTCCTGCTATGCTGTGGGCTGGCAAGGGGCTGTTCTGGGGGCAGAGCATTGGGCTGGGAATGGAGATCCTCATCCCTTGTGCTCCCTAGAAAAGGCCCAGACTGGGATACTGTTTGTGCTGTGATGGTGGGGAAAGCCAGTGCCCCAGAGGTTGGGCAGCCCAAAGCAGGGCAGTTTCCCTTGTAAGGAATGGAAAGCATAAAGTGTTTCATCAGTGTGGATGAAGGACTCAAGGGATATGTGTGGTAAGGCAGAGTGAGTAGGGTAGGGTAGAGCAGAGTGCTCATGAGTGAAGCTGAGAATGCAGTGCGGGAACCCCTCTGAGATGAAAGGGCTCAATGCGGGGCTGGCAAATGGAAGTGAAGACCCCATCTCTCCTCCTGCAGGTGGGCCAGCTCCTCCCAAGACCACCAGCCAGACTCCTCCCGTGTGGTGTACGATGATGTCCCCTACGAGAAGGTTCAGGTGGGTGAGGCTCCATGGCTCGCCCTCTCCCACCACTGTGGCCAGGCTACAGAAGATGCTCTGTGATGGCCCCATGGGTGTTACAGCACGGTGTCCTCCTGTCCCACTGCAGGCTGAGGAGCGGCCGGCAGGCGCACAGGTGAAGCGCCATGCATCCTCCTGCAGTGAGAAGTCGCGGCGGGTGGACCCACAAGTGAAGGTCAAGAGGCACGCGTCAAGTGAGTGGGGCCCTGAGCCACAGAGCTCCATGGGGACCCTGGCCAGGACCAGGGGATGCTGCTTCCACAAGGGGGTCTGCACCCAGGCTGGGGCTGGCCGGCTCTGGCACATGGGTGTTGGGTTGTGCTGCGCCAGCTCAGCTGCCACCGGTGCTGCTAGACCCGGAGCCTTCCTGACAGGGTCTCCTTGGGCATGCAGATGCCAACCAGTACAGGTATGGTAAGAACCGGGCGGAGGAGGATGCCAGGCGATTTCTGACAGAGAAGGAGAAGCTGGAGAAGGAGAAAGCATCGATTCGCAGCGAGCTGGTGTTGCTGCGGAAAGAGAAACGAGAGTTGCGGGAAGCAATGAAGAGCAGCACGGGTAGGTTGGTGCCATCCAAGTGCTGCAGCTGCGGCTGCTTGAAGGCACTGTGGTGCAGAGCTGGGGACACTGGGCTGGTGGTGGCACTGTGGCTGTGAGCCAGGCTGGCTGCAGCACGCTGGCAGGCTGGCAGCCCCATCTAGTGTCCCAGCCCAGAAGGATGGCTGGCTTCTCCATCCCTGGGCAAAGAAGCTGAGCTGGTGCGCTTGTGAAAGCAGGGCCGAAGCTGCAGGAGCTGGAGCAGCAGGTGGCGGTGCTGGAGGAACAGTGCCGGCAGAAGGAGGAGGGACGCGTCGATCTGGAGCTGAAGCTGACCGAAGTTAAGGAACGGCTGAAGCAGTCGCTGGCGGGAGGCCCGGCCCTGGGGCTGGCTGTGACCAGCAAGGCTGAGAATGGGGTATGCATCCTTTCTTCCTGCTTCCAGCTTCCCCTAGCAGTGGTGCTTGGGTGGCGGGGGAAGCAGCACATGGAGAAGAAGGGATATCCCTGCCCCTTTGTCTCATTGTGGACAGAGGTGGGAAGCAAAGCATCGGTTAGGTTTGGTCACATCAGTTTTGACCTCAAGACAGTTTGTGCTTTTTCTTCTTCCTGACTGTCCTTGTTCCCTGAATCTCCTAAATCCTTGTCCTTCTTGCTCCCTCTTTTCTCCAGGAAGCTACAAACAAGCCAAATGGGAGCACCCCTGAGCACCTGGTCCCTGTTAACTGTGCAGCTGAACTGAGGAAAAGAAGTCCCTCCATAATCCCTGCCAACAAGGGGAACGTGCTGCGGAAGGCCAAGGTCCTGCTTCACTTACCCTCTCCTCCCTGGCCCCATGGGAAATCTCAGCCTTTGCCCTGTCCCCTTTGCTTGATCATGAAATTGGGGGATTGGGGTTTGGCTCCGTACCCCAAAAGCAAAGGGTACTGCCATGGTCCCCTGCAGCCAGGCTGACCCAGCTCAGAAGCTCTCACTGCTGGCATGATCCCAACCTGCAGGGAGATTTGGGAAGTGCAGGCTGGGTGGCAGGGGCAAGAGCATTGCTTTTACAATGCCTAAGGCAGCAGTGACCCCAGCCTTTGAAGATGCTGAAGTGGCCCAAAGCCCCCAGAAGGGAGGGACGCCCTTGAGCTCAGTGCTCGCTTCTCCAGCAATGTCTCCTCATCCGCTGCTTTTTGTCCTTTCTCTGCAGGAATGGGAAAAGAAGCAGACTTAAGCCAGGCTGCAGGAATGCCTGCCAAGCCCCAGTGGACACTGGGGCTCATGGAAGAGCTACAAGCCCCCTTTCTCCAAGGCACATGGGGCGAGAGACGCTGTCCCACACCCCACCACTGCAGCACCATCTGCCTCGTGGGCAACACTATGAACCATGGGGAAGGGGCGGGAGGGGGATCCGGGAGGCGGGTGGGGAAAGGGGAGTCCTTTCTGGATCAGGGTCACATATTACTGGGAAACCCATCTCTGGGGGAGCCTCCCTGGGGCAGGAGTTCAGCACAAGATGCATAAGGAAGGAGAGGGGTGTCAGTCGGCACTGCCTGCGTGCACTGTGATTTATCAGGATCAGCGTGTGCCACCCTGGGGATGCTGGCAGCCAGTCTAAAGCTTTTCAAAGTGACCACAGACTTGGGGTTTTTTGCCCCCTTCAATGTTGGAGTTCATGAGCTGCTCAGGACCGGACACTTCGGAGATGCCGATCATTTGCCCTGCTCACTGCTCCCAGGTCTGCGGGGTCTCATCTCAGGGTTCCTTATATCTCAAGCTCAAATGCCCTTGTCCAGTATTTCCTTCTTGTCTTGCAGGCAGTAAGGGTGAGGGCATGCTGGCTTCCCTTGGGAATGAACAAAACTCAAGTGTCAGCATTTGAAAGCAAATTAACAATGGACACTTTTCAACATTGCTAAACAGCTTAGAAGTGCTGCAAAGGGCTGAGGCTGAAGGCAGCCCGGCTCTCTCTTCCCTAGCCCCATGTTAGCTTCTGGGGGCAGCAGGGAAAAGGGACAAGGCTGTCTCCCAGCCAACAGCGCATTCACACTATTGCTGCTGCAGTCAGATACAGTTTGGCAAGGCATGTGGTCAAAATGGAGTGAAGGGAAGTTTAAACATTAAAACAAAACACAAAAGACAAAAAAAAGGTGCTTTCAAATGAGGGGAGGAACAGAAAAGAGAAATGGAGGAAGGTCAATTAGCACTGGCAGAAACGAGGGATAGGAGTGAAAAGGAAAGGTCCAGGCTTTTGTGCCGGGAACAAGGGAGCAGGCCAGTCACCCACTCATGCTAACAGCTGCACCATTAACCTTTGGAGCTCTCTCTCAAAGCCCTCTTGTTGGTAACCAGGTAAGCAGCTTTCAATAAACACGCTGGCACCGGCCTGCCTACCCTAGCCCTGCTTCTAGGGGGAGGGTGGGTAAAATGCTTCTCCATGGGGAATGGGGTGGGCTCAGCACCCCTGCAGCACTGCCAGGGGCCAGGATGGGGGAATCTCAGACACTGTCAGCTCAGAGCCAGGATTTACCAGCTGCCCACTCCCAGGGATAAGGTGCAAGAAGCCCTGCTCCTGATGTGCTTGTACTTCCTATCAGCTTCCCTGTGCTGGCTGTCATGGCTCCTGTCCCCTCCAGGCCTGCAGCTGCACCACCCCATTTCCCATCAGAAAAGGGTGAAAACCCTCTTCTCCAAGTTTCACCTCTCCCACTAAGGAGACAAGGAGCCTGCGCCCACAGTGGGCAGAACTGGAGCTGGACCCCACTACAGGCATATAACAGAATCCCAGACTGGTTTGGGTTGGAAGGGGCCTTAAAGCTCATCCAGTTCCAACCTCTGCCACAGGCAAGGACACCTTCCACTGGAGCACCTTGATCCAAGCCCGTGTCCAACCTGGCCTTGAACACTGCCAGGGATGGGGCAGCCACAGTTTCTCTGGGCACCCTGTGTCAGCGCCTCAGCACCCTCACAGGGAAGAGCTTCTGCCTAAGAGCTCATCTCAGCCTCCCCTCTGGCAGGTTCAAGCCATTCCCCTCCCGTTGTCACTACACTCCCGTTAGATCCCTCCCCACCTCTGACTGACCCGTCAAAGGCACACCGCCACCGTTTGGGGGATTTTTACTGTTTCTTTACCAAGAGGTAAGAAGCACCATTTCCTCCACCTCGGGTCCGCCTGCTGGGCCAAGCCGCTTGGTGTTTGCTGATCAAGAGCTGAGCCCACCCCGTTACCACCCCTCAGCTCACAGCCACACGACCCCGATGCACTGCACCGCCAAACTCGACCCGGCCCGGCCCCGCTGCGCTGCCCGCCGGGCCTCGCAGGGGCTGCCGGGAGCTGTAGTCTGCGGGCGGTGGCGCTGCGCTGCAGGCGGCGCCGTGGCTGTGCGGGGCCATGGCCGCCCGCTCCGTGCGGCGGCTCGGCAGCGGGCTCTCGCTCGGCGGCGCGGCGCGGCGGGGCAGGTACGTGCTGCGGGGCGAGTGTGGGAGCGGCCGCGTGTCCCCGCAGCCGTTCGCGGCCGCGGCGCTGAACCCTCCCCGCCCCGCGGTGCGGGACGTGGCAGCCCCGGGCCCGGGCCTGGCGAGGAGCCGCGGCGGCGCCGGGCCCGGAGCGCCCGGCGGGTGTGGGGCGGCGCCGGGAGGGCCCCGTACCCCCGGGAGGGCTTCAGTTTCCCCTCACCAGGGCAGCGCTGCCCACCGTCAGAAGGCCTGGGACAAAAACGGGCTCGCAATAATCAGTCTCTTGCCTGGAAAAGTGTAATTTTGAGGAGGAATTAATTGTAATTCCTAGCGAAAGGCGTTTCTGCGGTCAGTGAGCCGCGGTGTGAGGTTATGTCCTGCCGTTACACGTATCCACGGGTGATTTCTGCATCTCTTCCTGCCTGTCTGAACCATTTATGCGTGAATTACATGTTGCATGTGCTCCTTGGGGTTTATCCTCGGTAGTGATGCGGCACCTGCGCTCTCAGCGTGCTCTGGATGGATGAGGGAAGAGGATACGTTTAACTGGGCCACTGTTGAGCAGAAAAAAGTGTCCATTCTTATCTTTGGACATGGTGGGATATGGCTTGTAAAAGGGAAATCCATAACAGGTGCTTTGGTTATTGGAGTAAAATGTGGGCAGAAAAGTTTATTCTATGTTAGTTTATTCTAGAGGGGGTTTTCCCGTGGAAGAAAAAAAAAGACCATTTAAATGCATTAAAATAATTCTGCAGCATGTAATAGAAGCAGCGGTGTGTGGGACTAGATGTAAAGGTGCGTGGTGAAAGTCGTCCCTTTATATGCTCATATATATGTGAAAACTGTTCACAGTGTGCACCAAGTTGGAAGTAGGTGGCTTTGATGGGAGCTGATCCACAGAGGGTTGCTTGTGCAGCCTGGAGAAGAGAAGGCTCCGGGGAACCTTAGATCAGTTCCCAGTGCCTAAAGGGGCTACAAGAAACCTGGAGAGGGGCTTTGAACAAGGGCCTGTGGGGACAGGCCAAGGGGAATGGCTTTAACTTGACCCAGGAGAAACTGAGATGAGCTCTTAGGCAGAAGCTCTTCCCTGTGAGGGTGCTGAGGCGCTGGCACAGGGTGCCCAGAGAAGCTGTGGCTGCCCCATCCCTGGCAGTGTTCAAGGCCAGGTTGGACACAGGGGCTTGGAGCAACCTGCTCCAGTGGAAGGTGTCCCTGCCTGTGGCAGGGGGTTGAATCTGGATGAGCTTTAAGATCCCGTCCAACACAAGTCTGTGAGTCTGTGATTCTATAAACTCACTGCAGTCAGGAGCCTGCTGCCCAGTTTAACTCTGTCCTGTGTTAAGGTGCAGTTGTGTGCTCCAGTTCCATGGGAGAGGAATCCACATAGAATTGATCTCTGGTATCACTTCCTGATGAAACTGAGCACAGTAATTGGGGGTCGTTAGGAGACTTCCTGCCAAAGCAAGCTCATGGAGTTAAACCACAGCTAATGCAGATGTTTCTGTGTGTCTCACCACTTGCGTGCTTTGTCATGCTAATTTGGGAGGAGGAGGGAGTGTTTAAGGAGAGGTGTGGTAGGACCCTTGTGTTCAGAGGGAACAAGACAGTCTTGGAACATTTCACCATCGTGCCTATGCTCCAGAAAGAGGTGATACTGTTGTTCTGACCACAGAGGGGTGTTCTCATAGCGTAAATTATGATCTTTAAGGACAGTTGGCTTAAGCCATGTGGCTACAGTCAACTTGTCTGCTACATCTGTCTGTCTGGTTTTGTGACATCACTTTGTAAATCCTTCTGTATCACCAGTTTAGTTGTATAATCCCTTCACATGCTCTGGGACTTCCATGTGTCTGTCACTTTAGGATGTGTCAACTTCCTCCAGGGGGATTTCTGCCTATTTTTAGGGTGGCTGTGATCAAGACTGTGTTTGAAGATGGAGCACAGTGCAGTGGACAGACTATAAATAGCACTTGCCCATTTTAGTGGCAAGGAAGATGTAAATTGGGTGGCATTTTCAATTCTGCATAATAAGAATTCCCTTTGGAGTCAGTCTGTGGTTCTTGCATCCTGCCTACAACTTTTAAGGCAGTTCGTCTGAGCAGCACACGATGCATGGGGCATGTCACTGCATGGGGGAATGCTCTGTGGCTCGGTTTCAGGAGCTGGAGAAAGGAGTCCATGCAGGCAACTCTCTGCTTCACGTAGGCAGGTCCCTGCAGCTGAGGCACCAGCTCATTCCTGCCCTTCTCCTACACACCAAAACACACCCATTGGAGTAGTGTAAATCACTTGCAGAGGGAAATGACTCACCTTTGCTTCGTGGATGCAAGAGTTAACTCATTTGTGTAGCTTTTTTAAGGCATGAGAGTCTAACCTGTGAGGTGCCTGCCAAGGCTGCTTCCTCAGCTGCATTTCAGGTTCCTTGCTTCATCTGTAGCACGGCCAATTTCCGTCCCTGCAGCTCTTTAAGTGAAAGGTAAGATGGTAAAGGACAGAGCTTGTAGTTGGTGCTTACCATGGACACACCTTTTATTTTACAGTGGAAGCTATGCAGTTGTTTAAAGCTTCATGGATTGATTTTGAAGCCTTGGTGAAGGGGGTCCTGTGTCCTCACCTCCAGTTTAGTCTAATTTCTGTAACTTAGAAAAAGTGCTGTGTAAACCAGTCAACACACAAAGGTGGCAAGCATCTTAGAAATCATTCGAGATGGGGTCTTGTGCCTTAAACTGATCTCTGCAGCCAGGGATAAAATATGGGGTTATCTTCTGTGTTGGCATTCCTGAAACCCAGAACTGCAGTGGCTGGGTAGCTCTTTAAGAAAAGCCTGGTGACAGCCCCTCTCCTGGTTCTTTAAAGATTAAATGAGAAGAACATCTTATTCTACAGCAAGTGTAGGTAGCAGAGGCACTTTCGGACTAGTATTTGGCATGCAGTGTGCTG